CTGCACTTAGGTACTGATCTTTTCATTGCACCCCTTTGGAGCTCTGACAGTTCGCTCACTTCCCTCCTTGTTTTCTTGATTTTAGCCTCTAAACGTCTCTTCCATGATGGATATTGGTTGCTTTTTATAGCCAGGCATCTCAAGGATCACTGATGCTGAGTTGTATATCAGCTCATTAGTTTCTGTTATGGTGTTGGTAGGGATAGATCTTAATGCTGCATTCACATCTTCAATTAGACTTTCTGATGGTAATTTACTCAGCCATTGCAATTGGCGTCAGGCTGTTTGGTGTTCATTCTGGCCACGATTCTCTCTCTCAGGTCAGTTGCTGCCTCGTTCAGCTTTGATGGTTCGTTCATTACTGTGGCTACATACCCAGTTTCTGGGCTGGTAGTATATGGTATATAATTACTGTTCTGACTGTAGACATGGATGAGTTCAGGCCTGTAGATATTTTCTTGCAGCCTCATCTTCCTTGTAGAGTGGCATGTCCTCTCATCTTTCACAAATTGAATGGTTGAAAAGACAAATGGGCCTCTGTGGGTGCCAATAAGTGCTTAGATAGTTGACTTTGTGGAAAAAATATATTTTTAAATGGTAAATGACCAAGTCCATAACACCCCAAAGCACTTAACACTACATTTAGTCATCCACCCATTAATGCACACATTTATGTGGTTGGAAGATACTAGATTGTAACCACATCTGACCTGCTGTAGCCTAGCAGAGACCAGGCTGCCATGCATTGGCACCACTGGGCTACTTCTTCTACTGCTCCTCATTTTCTGACCCATTGTTTTCTTTGTCTGTTGTGTTTGCCCCCCTTTGAATGGGAGTATTGTTATTGCTATCACCATGCACAAAATTTGGATTGTCCTAACAGGGCAGTTACAGATGACACCGGCTTTGTTTTTGAACAAATATTAGAGCAAACTGGGAGATATGAATCAGGCCTTGAATGCAGATGGGTTTGAAGCATCTAGAAGTGTTTGGAATGATGTGCACATCTTCTTTGAATCCCCAGAATAAGCTGTTTATTTGTAGGCTACACAACAACTCCAGATGGCCTGTCAGGTACTACAAGTGTCGCCTGAGTTGGTAGACAGAGACTATACCTTATGTATAATAACAGGAGCAAGACATTAGCTCAGATTCATCATAGTAGAGTAACCTAACGGGAGTTTGTAATCATCAAAACTAGAAAAAAAGATTATAGAATGAAATGCATTAACACAGCCTGTTATTCTGCTTAGCTGTAGAGTTAAAACAGACACACAAAGTCCATTGTATGAACATGCTTTATATCCGGTGTTCACAAGAGTCTGTAAACTGTCTGATGTTAAAATCTGGAACGGTAGATTTTCTGCCTAATGGTAGCTGAAGGAAATTACAAGTTAGTAACCTTCAAGGATTTACATCTTACAGGAGAAGAAGCACACAGCAGTTGCACATGACACACACCTGAGCAGTCAATCAAAAATAAATAAATAAACAGAAGAAATTTACTGAAAATGCAAGAATGCAAAAAAAAATGAATAAATAAAAAATAAACTGTCACAGCTATGATTCTCTTCATAAACAAAGTGGGAAAGACAACTGAGGGGATCTTTTGAACCCTTGCGTAAATAAGAGGAATCAGGCGTTGAACATCCAGGTAATAACTGATGTTATGACTTGGCATTTGCTCTGACATGCATTTGAGACAGGAACATTAAAAGATATCCACCATTTGACAGGTATCACAGTTCCCTCAGGCAAGAAGGATTCTCATTTTGATGAGTGTGTCAGTCACACTGAAGCCTGTCGACAAGCCAGATCTTCGAGCACAGACGTTCAGGAATAACTAACACTTCTCAAGAATTACAAATGGAATATTTGAATAACTGTGTGAAGCAGCAATGAGATTGGATGATAACTCAAAGGTGTTTAGGAATTTTTCTTTTTTATTATTTTTTTTCTTACAAACAAATTTTACTAATTTTTCCCCCAGTCCTAGAAATGCCTTTCAGAACATTTTTTATGTTTGTTTTTTGAAACCTTCAGACTGAGCAGTAAATTGACTATCTACTATTGTGGATGGATTTCCTGCAAGATTCATGCTTTTAAAATAACAATCCTGTAAAAAAACAAACAAACAAAAAACAAACAAACAAAAAAAAGAAACCAAAAATAAAACCCCTGAGATTTATTCAAAGTAGGATAAGCCACCACTTCCAGTTCACATGAGCTCCCTGCCACGTGGAAAATAATTGCACAAACTCTTGAAATCGATCACTCATAATCAACTTCTGTGAATTAGTTGCGACTGAAGTTGACAGGGCTGTGCAGAGAACAGTGGACGACATGGGGCTTTAAATCCCACACTCAGCACCAAGCGTGAATAGTCTCTCTGTGTGCATTTTGCACTGCAGCATGTGCCATGTTCAGTATCTGACACTCATAATGATTTACGTCCCTCTCCTGGCTAAATAATTTACAGAGATACGGTTCTCGTTGCTTTTAACAGTCGTTGTATAGACCTGACGGCCTTTAAAATGTCCCACAATCAAGGCAGCCATGTGCTTGGATGGATGGCGTACCTCTCAGAGCTGATTAATAAGGCTGCTCGTTCTTTCAGTCCAAACAGGGTGTCAGGAAACATGGTGTAAGTACAAGCAGCTGGTTGGGCTTGTGTGCTTAGCGTGCATTTCTGAATGCAGCTCGGTCCAGGGCAACGCTGGTAATGCGCATGATCTCATAAAGAACAGATCTGCTGTATATTTTGATTTGTGATATATGCACATGTACAATGCCATGCCATCCCTATTATAACATATGAAAGGACCTGTATTTTTGGTAAATGTTTGTGCTCGCCTGCGTAAATACAAGTTCAAAGCGATGCATTGTTGGTTCTTTGTGGAAGGCCAGCCTGTTGGTGTGCAAACAAAGCCAAAGAGCATTATTCATCTCTGTGACTTTCAAACTTCATTTCATGGATGCTGGCAACTGAAAGGAGTTGTTGTTGTTTTAACTATTTTTCCCAGCGAGCGTTTAATAAATCTGCAAACTGAATAAACATGAATATAAGGGACTTGATGTGCAAACAATCATCTCAGATTTTTACTTGAGATACATTTTTAATTGGGGGAAAAAAGTGAGAATTTTGTTTTAAATCACTATGCGCACTGGCTTGTATAATCTAATGTGATATTTATTTTGTTCACAATCCAAGCAGTGTATAAGAGGCAAGTGACCTCATGAGGGTTTGACTTGAACTTTTGGATTTTACTTTTTCTGATTCCTAGAGAGGATTTTAACATAAAACAGATTTCTGACCGTTTTATTAATCTATGTTAAAATGCTAGAAAGTGTTGCAAATTGTAAACTTATATTGTAGAAGCATCACTGAGCCCTAAACAAGTTACAAGCATATGCTTCATTTTTGTGAGGTACCAACGCAAATTAAAAAGTGTCAGGAAATGAAGGAATTTTTCTTTACAAATAAAAATATAAAATATGTTCTGTGCATTGGTGCTCAGCCTTTCCGAGTCAAAACTTTGCGCAGTCGCCCTTTAGGGCAATTACAGCTTCAAGTCTTTGGGGGTATACTGTATATCTTCTAGCTTTGTACAGCTATGCTTCCTGTTTACAAAATAACTATGGCTCAATCAGACTGTAGAGAGGACATCTGTGGATGACAGTATTTAGGTATCACCACAGATTCTCGATTTTTTTTTTTCCACATGTATTGTTTGATGTTGACTAGAATACTTTTTACCATTACTTTTGTGTCTCCCATGGAAAACTGCTGATTTGTCTTATAATGTTTTTTTATTATTATTATATAACAGCTTTCCTCTTATCATTCTTCCATTGTGGTCAAATTAGTTCTTTTGTCAAAATCTTACATCTTTGTAGTTTCTCCCAAGTATAGACTTTGTGGCAACTTGTCCGATTAACGTTCTCCATACCCAGAATGTCGTCAGTTTTCATGATGCTTTTGCTTCAATAATGTCATCTAAGAAATCTTCAAAGAGTAGATGTGCTTATACTGAAATTAAATTGCATCTTTTTAATTAACTTAATTTTTAAGTTGCACTGAATTTTATTAAAAGTTTTTGGGTGAATAAAAAAAAAAAAAAAAATGAATAGAAACCATCTCTTATTTTCCTTCTTTGGGAAATATTTGCAACTTTCAGTTGGTCTACAATATAAAATCTCACTAAAATGCAACTATCCCTAAGATGTGTGATTCAAAGCGGAGAGGAAAATTTTATACAGCGGGCCTAATGTGAGTCTCCCCAGAATTCAGTGTCAACAAAATGTTTGAGAACCACTGCTTTTGACAGTCCAAAACTGCGGGGAGGTGGCAGGCATTTTCCAGTTCAGAGCTCAGTGAAGCCCAGCATGTCTTCGACAGGTTGAGTGCCTGTGTGCTTTCACTCTGGAGTGAACGAACAATATCCCCTTGTTCCTGGCGAAGAGAAGGGAGAATCAGTGTGACAGCTGTGAACAAATATCAAGATGATGGGGTAGTCAGCCATGTGAGATGCAAAATGCTTTTCCCCCCTTGTATCTTGCGAACTTCAAAGCTGCAACTGCTAATTTCATCTGTGAACTGTGTGCTGCGGTGTCTCATGGTAAAGTGCTCCGCTGGCTGTCAGGGAATCGTTTTGGAGTTGGAAATGAACACGTATGAGGTTGAGAGGAAATCGCAGTTGTGACAGCTTCTGCAAAATTAGACAAAAAAAACGGTTACTCATTTTCATTAAACTCAGGAATAGCACATAGATGCACACTTTTTTTTTTAATTTCCTCAAGTGTACTGTTTTCCGCTTACACATAATCGCATATAAAATTCTGGCATAAATAATTAAATCGATAGATAAATAAAGAAATGAACAAGTACGTATATTTTACATTCTTGATTAGTCGTCGGTTTTTCTCTCCAGCTCTTCGCCTCCGTTTGACTGAAACACACATTAAAATCCAGATGAATGCTGTAACCTTTCTACACATTGCAAAGCCAGCACACAGCTGCCCTCTGTGTTTCCTGTGCACCATTTAATGGTTCATCCATCTCATCTGTTCAACCAAATGTGCCTGTTGAAAAGTATCTGAACGTGCTTTCTGCCACAGATTTAATTTCCATACACACTGTCTAGTGTGAGCCCCCCCAACCCCCCTCCTATGCAGTGGCTTGTGTCTCAGTGGAATGAAAACCTGGCTCTTGGCCACTAAAAGTCCATCGTCTGAGTATCACACAGTTAGCGGCGCTTCCTGCAGCTATATTTATGTACTCCAACTGTATACCATTTCATTGAAACCCGACCAGCGGGTGATTTGTCTCCATAAGAGTGTGCCATTTACAAGCAGCCATGCTGGGGCGGGACCCCAACTGAAGGACTTAGCACACATCCAATTCGCACCAGATGCTGTCCAGAACAAACCAACATACGCTGAGAAGAGTGTCAAAACCAATTTGCTATGAATGCCTGACCACTGTGTTAAAGAAATGTTTAAGTAGCATACAGAGGGTTTTTTTTTTTTTTTTTTTTAAGTTGGCGCCATGATATAGTAAAGCAGAAAGATGCAGAGAGTTGCATGTTTTATTTGGGTGGATTTGAATCTATGTTTTATATTATGAGGAGGGTTTACCACGCAGCTAACTCCAATCAAATTATAAAGTGTACTTACTCTGTGTTATTTAATTTTATTTTCTTCATTTTTACATAATTTTACTCACTTGATACAATAAATTACTCTTTAGAAAAAAAAAAGCAGGTTCCCATTTTGGGTGTAGAGGATCCCCCCCGTCACAACAGACACCTCGGCTGGATCTTTCTTGATAGCACATTCATGAAGTCATCCAATTTGCCCTTGATAGTGATAAGAAACAAACAAACAAATAAAATATCTGGTTTGCAGTTAGGGAGGGCATGGACCGTTTTGGAAATGACAGTGAACTTTTGAAATCTATTCAACTCTATTTTAGCTGCCATTTTCTCTGACAACTTTTGCTAATTTGGAAAATTTTAAATGACCGCCTTAACTTGCAAGTTTGATTTCAATATTAGTGTGTCTCTAAATTAGTTAAAAAGGTACACAAACTTTTAAAATCTCTACTTACAAGATGTAATTCAATCATTTTGCTCACAAACCTCAGGGTTTCATCCTTGTCAACTGTCTTGCTTGCTAGCAAGCAAACATTTATATTATCACACTGGTAAAATTAGAGCTTAGCATAAAATCCAAGCTGAATATAAACCTTTAAAAATATTTTCAAAGCAAGTAAACATTTAGCATAGCAACCACAGATGGGCTATTCATTAGCAACAACTGCTTCAGGGTTCAGTTTTTCTAGCCAGACTGACTACATCATTAACAATGTTGCTAATACAGCTGGAGAAAACTGTCCTCAGAGGGTGGCATTTGAACCTTTTCTTTCTTTTTTTTTTCTGGCAGCCACAGTTAAGATGTCCCATTAATTTTCCACAACTGTGGCAGCATGAAGAAGCTCATATTACAGTCACTAAGCTATCTACAATGAGATACAAACTTAAATTCTTGATCCAAGACAATCTGAATCTCAACCACTTGTAATACTATTGCTCTGCTAATTTGATGTATCCATTCATATTACAACCAATGCAAGCTTGCCACCTTACTGAATACACAATGAATGTGAATAATGTGTGAATTAAATTTAAATCCACATGTTAAGGAATGGTTTGTGACCAAAAAACAATTTGTTTGTGTTAAAATTTTAGCCTTTATTGAATGTTACCTGTATAAACAAATGGGTTTAATTATAACTTCAAGAATTTTATTAACTAATACTTAATATCCTCCCCTAATTCCTTTCTATGGTGTCGAATCTGGTTGTTGTTGTTTCTTTTTTTACTCATGCAATTTTGTCCTTCGTGATTTCTTTGCTCTTTAATTTACATTTACATGGGTCAGTAAAGTTGACTTTCTGACCCATTAAAAACACATACCTACTCAAAGACTTTCAGAACCCCCAAGGCCGATGAGGGCAACCTTATCAAGACACTATGCATGTCACTCTTTCACTTGGATCAATTTGCAAAGTCTATCTCTCTCTCTCTCTCTCAGTGTAATTGCCCTTCATTCATAAAAAAAAGATTGATTGGAAATCAGACCTCCGGTTATGGGCCCAGGTGACAGCCAAAGAAAAATGTAAAATTTACAGCCTGCTTTTACAGCCGGATTCCAGGAATAATTGTTGCGGGACATGACGGTGCGTTAGCAGTTATAAACCTGTCCCCCATATAAATTACCTAATCAGGGGATCCCAGTGGTTATATAAATTGAGCCACTCATTCGTCTTCAATGGCCTGTGTGTGCATATAAAACCACAACGACCGTCATATAGTTCACAGGAAAAGGGGGAAGCCATCGCTGTTTACAGAGTTAGGGCAAAATGGATGACTTTTTGCATGCTCAATCAACTGTGAAATGTCCATTTAATCATCCCCAAAAACCCCCTGGTTTATTTGTGCTGCAGCACAGATTTACATTTTCAAACATCCCCCATATTAATCATTACTTCATCACGCCCTCCAACTGACAAGCAGCATAAACTACCTTAGTGTACTGCCTTGTCGACTAATGTATGCATGTTGCTGCCTCGGACTATGTGTGTGTGTGTGTGCGCGTTTGTTTGTAATACCTTGTAGGGACGATTTTCCTGACATATACTATGTTGTGGGGACCAATTGCTCCTTGTGGGGACAGAAGCCTGGTTCCCACAAGGGGAAACCCTGTTTTTGGGTCAGGAGTCAGATTTAGGGCTAAGGTATGAATTGAGTTTTGGTTAGGGTTAGGTATGTGATGGTTAGGGTTAGGAAAAGGGTAAAGGTCAGGTTTAGGCTGTAGAAATGAATGGAAGTCAATGGAAAGTCCCCACAAAGATAGCCACGCAAATATGTGTGTATGCGCGTGTGTGTGTGTGTGTGTGTGTGTGTGCATGTGTGTGTGTGTGTGTGTGTGTGTGCAGCAGTCTGAGAGTGTGTATACATGTGTCAATTTGTGTGAGGTAAAAAAGCTGCCCTTTGATTTACTCACCACTCACTGTGTCCTGCAGGAAAAATTGAGTTTTGGTTGCATGATGGGATTTTGTTTCGTCCACTGAGGTTTTTGGATTACAGTTTTTCCCGCTGCAGACCAAAATGTGAGTCATTTAAATGTTAAAAAAAAAAACTGACTAACTAAAAATAAATAAATAAAATAAAGCAAGTCATATGTGATATTTTTTATAATAACCTGCAAACTGTCTGAGTACAAATGGATATTTGATCATTGTGAAGGAAAGAAGCTTCAAAATTAAGAAGCATACAGCAGCATACTGATAAAAAAAATTACATTTTTAGTAATTATTTTTCAAACAAAAGAAAAATGACACCATGATCTACAATATTACCTAGACTGAGTTACATTTACTGTGCTATATCAGGATATCCTGAATAAAATGCAAAATGCTTCACCCTCAACAACGAATCCTTCATAAAAGAGTGAAGCCTGGGCTTATCACTCAGGATGAGAAGCATGTTACATTTGCCACTTTAACACAAGACAAATGGGTCACTCAGCCATTTACATTCTCATACATTTTTATGACTGCCTTGAAGTGAATTTGATCTATTGGTAACAAGATAAATCATGGGCATAAAGCTTTGGCAGTTCTGACTTTAAGCAATCTTTCATTTGACTGAAGTCTTTTACTCTTACATGATGTGTTTTCTGTCTTCGCAACCTTCAAATAGTTGAAAGGGTAAAAAAGAGAGAAAATGGTATATCTCATTTTTCTTACAATTACACGTCAAACACCATAGAGAAAGTAACAAATAACACAACAGAATATATATATATATATATATATAATATAATATAATTACATCTAAATCATTTGGATTGTGTAGCAGAGTCATCAGGTAGGCAAGTTATCTGTGCCAGCATAAGTGGAAATTTGTTGATTTAAAGCACATAACACAATGTTCACACACTCCATGAATATTTTCACATTTGGTCACATTATAAATAGAAACAACAGTGTATTTTATTGGGCTTTCATATCACAGACTAACACAAAATAGTATATAAAGTGGAAGAAACATGTTTGCATTGTTCTTACAAATGCATGTATGCAAATGCATATTGTGTGAATTTATATTTGCTCCCAATTATAAAACTTTAACAATTTTTTTTCTTTAATGAATTGAGTCTTTTGCACCACCTTTGTTCATATACAGACTCAGAACTTTGGGCATCTTTCTTTGCAAAACAACTCCAACTCAGTCAGACTGGACAGGTAGGATTTGTGAGAATTACTTTTAAAGTGTTGAGTTTATGTCTGCTGATTGATCTAACCATTCTAACACATGAATTTGCTTTGATCTAAGCCATTTCATCGTATCTCTGGCCGTACGTCAAGGTTTGTTGTCCATAAGGTGACCCTCTGAACAAGTCCCAAGTCATTTACCTACTAGAGACTTGGGTTAGTCTCTTGGAAGTTTTCTCCCAGGTCTGCATTGGATTTTGCATAATCTGTTTTTCCATAAACTCTGACGAGCTTCCATGGAAATAATCCCTAAAAGCATGATACCACCAACACCATGTTCCGCAGGACTTCCCGTGATTGGTTTTTAATGCCTGTCTTTCAACAAGGATTTTCTTTTTTGTTTCATTTCACAGCTTCCAGCAGACGGAGAACCATATTTTTGGTGCCTAGCCATATTCTCCCACATGAAAATCTATCACTCATCATGTCTTGATAGCTGACAGCTGAATCATCTATTTATTTTCTGACGATGGATGAAACGATGCTCCTAGAGATGTTGAAAACTCAGAACAATGCTTCTCTAACCTATCCATGTTAGCCCAGACTTGTCATCTATGTTACTTTGTCCACATGATAACGTTTGTCACCACAAGTGGTGACCTCCGAAGGGAACCAGTTGCACTGGATTCCAAAAAATTGGCTAAGAGCAAAGTTTTCTTTCATTTCAAAATTAACCACAACTTTTTTTTTTTTTTTTTTTTTTTTTTTTTTTTTTTTCCTCCACAAAAAAATTTAAAAAAAA